TCTGGGAGTTGAAGTCCACTCATCTTAAAGTGGCCAAGTTTGGACAACACTGACCTAGGTGGTCACTAAGAGTCAGTGCCAACATGATGGCACATAATCAATCACCAGCTGCTACACAACTCACCGACAAATACTGAGCTTGTTGTGTTTTAATCACCAACAACTATAATAGATTTATAAATCACAATTCTCTTGATTCACCCCCCGCTCATGAATTAGATCATCTAGAGGGGGTCAAGCGGGTCATCATTTGAAGCTGCACAATTTATTTTTCTTAAGCCTACTCCGACCATTCATCCCTCCAAATGAATAACCTAAGTGTCTCAAGGAAGGCAGTTTAGCATCTTTGGACAAACTCACATGAGTCCAAAGTGATGCTATGTTTACAGGCTCTTAAGTGCCTCCAAACTTGGTGCAACCAAGTCTACCTTTTTAAAAATATTGTGGGAAACATTAACAGGGAGAAGACACTCTCTCTTGAAATGGGATCATCCCTTTCCCGAAAAACAGCAAAAGCAATTTTCTTTTGTCCAGTTCAGCCTTAGTTGCAAGGGCTACAGCCAGACTGTCGAGGATTTAAATATCCAATAGGCAGCAAATATTTCTCCAGGGAAAACCGGCTCCATTTCAGTTTTCTGCTGTGCTTTACAACCGGGGTCCCAACCAACCTAACGTCCCTGAGCAGCCACGTGCAGGAAGCAGTTCATCCGTCTGTTAAGTGTGCGCTGGAGGCACCTCGATCTGGATATCAGGCAACAAACTGCAGCTGGTAATAATGTCTATCTTGTCTGCCACGGCCTGCAGGTCCTCCAGAATGATCCGGATGTTGTGTGAAGCGCTGATGATGCCATTTTGGGAATTGCTCAGCTGCCCGGTAATGGCTCCAATTTCCTTGACGGCCGTTTGGTAGACCTGCTTGATGGTGTTGTTGATGTCGTAGTACAAGCGGGCATTACTCTCAACCAGCTTCTGCTGCAACAGGGTGCTATATCGGCCCCGGTGTTTGATATGAAGGGCGGGCTTCTCTTCTACCGCCGTGGGAGAGCCCAAGTCCTCACTCCTGTAAACAATCAGGGGAGGTAAATCTGGGCTGATCAATTTAGCCTCTGCTTTTGATCCAGCGGGATTTCTGGCTTCTTCCTCCTCATCTGTTTCAGAGGCTTCTCCAACCACATGGGATCCAGAAAGGCTGCAGAAGGGAGCCTGGGGCAAGGTAGAAGTATGGATTTCTTCCTCTGAATCAGTCTCTGAAGCTTCACCCTGAATCACAGTTTTGTACCTTGGAGAGATCATTTTTGGAGCACCTGGAAAGAGAAAAGGCAGCAGACTTGAGGATTTGAGACACAGGCCCAAATGAGAAATCTTTCTTATTATGAAACAGAAGCCACAAATAGAACATACAGGCAGTGGATTAAACTACTTCCCCCTCCCCATACCCTGGAGATCTTGATGGACTTTAGATCATTATTAGTTCATAAGTGTTAGGAATCGACTACATGCCCTCCACGCGTGTTAAGACTCCAACTCTCCAAACGTCCAAGAGCATGGGGGTGCTGAAAAAACACGCCGGTCTTGGCTTTCTTTTTCCAGCTTATTCACTGCATTAATGCTAATTTTTATAGCCTGCCTGATGCTAATATATTCTGGGTGGCGAAAACAAAGCAAAACAAGAATTGCAGAAACGCGGGACCAGCCGTCGTATCCACCAGTCGTATCATCCTAAGTGCCCACATCAAGGAAGGGCTGAGAGCCCTGGAACAATATTGCCCTGAGTCGTTTCGGGAATATAAGGGCTGGGGACGCCCCTGAGAAGGCCACGAGCATTGGACTGATGCTGATCACGATGGTGGTATTCTTCATTCCCTGCAACCCCTTTTTCCTCCTCTGGTTCTTGCAAAAAGAAGTCCTCTCACGCAGATGGACTGGCAGGGCGGTTCGCCACCAAACAGGGAGGGGAGCCCAACCTGGGAACAGCGCCTTGGTGGCCGGCTGGGAATCCTGGGGGCTGCGATCCCAACATCTGCAGAGGGCCCAGCTTGGGGAAGGCGGCTGCCTTGCCCCACTTGCATCCACCCCACCTCTCCAAGTCCTCCC